GACCTACTTAGGAGGCTCACCCTTGTGCTGGTTCCTTCTCTTTCCTTCTTGTGAATATCCTGCTGGAGTTACAACCACCGTTTTGGATTATGTAGCAACACAGGAAAGAGGCTCTGTACTAACGAAGGTGGGGAAGAGTTAGAAGGAACTTGTGTCCTAGATGACCAGGGAGCAGCCATACCAGCTTACCTTGAATTAGAAACTTAATTCCTAACTGATCCCCATGCGAAATGCTAGTCGAGATTATCAATCTCTCCTAGCATCCTTTCCCTCACTCTGTGGGACTGTGTGCTCTTTTGGTCCATGCTATCTCCAGCCTGGCTAAGTTCTAGTGAAAACAGGGAAGAAATATACTCTGCATCAGTTTCTAGGGGTAGATTGATGTCCTCATTGACCAGGTTTAACTTTAGTTGAGACTTTTAGGAGAAATCTTCCTGCCTGTTGTTTGTCGACAGTACTGACTGGTCATTGTGAGCTGAAAGAATAAATCCTTATTCAAGGAAGTCTTCATGTTATCTAAATCTTATGAATCTGCCATTCAGCCTTGCTACAATTAAAAGCATGAAGAAAAGTTCATAACCAGGAAAAAAGAGATTTTCTCCTTGTGGATTTTTCCATTTTTACCAGATTTTTTTTTTTTTTTTTTTTTTTTTTTTTTTTTTGAGATAGAGTTTCACTCTGTCACCCAGCCTGGAGTGTAGTGGTGCAATTTTGGCACCACTGCAGCCTCCACCTCCCAGGTTCAAGTGATTCTCCTGCCTCAGCCTCCTGAGTAACTGGGATTACAAGCGCCTATCACCATGCCCAGCTAAGTTTCATATTTTAAGTAGAGACAGGATTTCACCATATTGATCTGACTGGTCTCAAAATCCTGACCTCAGGTGATCCACCCACGTCGGCCTCCCAAAGTACTGGGATTATAGATGTCAGCCACCACGCCCAGCCCACTAAAAATATTTTTGAAAGTTATTTTCTCATAAACATCTCATTCCTTCATTTAAAAATGTTTTGTAAGGAAGAATAAAGACAAAATCATATAATAGTATATTTTAGATATGCAGAATGTAATAATATATTTTAGATATACAAAGCAGGTCCCATTCTTTAAGAACTTTTTGAATTGATATTGTCTCATTTATTTAAATAATTGTATGGATCAAAAGAGTGCAATTATAAAGGTAAAAATTCTTTTTCATAGACACAGAAATTGAACTTTTCCTTAGAAAGAGGCATAATTCACCTCTGTACTCGTAGTGAATAAAGCATTTTAGTAAACAAATACCTTACCCTCAAATACACTTTTATTATAAATATTGATATTCCTTACACAGAAATTCATGTAGAAGATATTTATTCCTCATACCTTATAGAGCTTAATTTTTAATTCAATTTATGTTTTTCGATCTATCACTGCTAAATGAGCAATTTAGCACACAAACATGTACTTATTTAAAAAACATGGAGTCGAGAATAATTTATACATATACATACATGTATACTGACATTTACAAAATTATGAATCATATTGGAAAAATATTATACATGTTATTCTCAGTATTCAAAGTAGGAGAAAAACACCTAAAACCTTCCATCAATCTTAACATTCTGATAGATTTACAAATTAGTTCTAATCGGTAGCAATGGGATCATTTCTTTTCTTTTCTTTCTTTCTTTATTTTTTTGAGACAGATTCTTGCTCTGCCGCTGATTGTGCAGTGGTGCAATCTCGGTTCACGGCAATCTCAGCTCACCGCAACCGCCGCCTCCTGGGTTCAAGTGATTCTTGCGCCTCAGCCCCGTGTAGCTGGGATTATAGGTTTAACCACACCTGGCTAATTTTCACATTTTTTAGAGATGGGTTTCACCATGTTGGCCAGGCTGGTCTCAAACTCCTGGCCTCCCAACGTGTTGGGATTACAGGCGTGAGCCACCATGTCTGGCTGGGACCATTTCTTATAGGAAGCTTACAAGGTAGAATTTACATGCTGCTGGGACAAAAGCTAAGTGGAAAATATGGCATCTGATGACCTAACTGAAGTCCTAGATACTTTGCATCGCTTGTAAAACAAAAGAGTCAAACACAGTGGTTGTTTTTTTTTTAAACATAATTTTCAGTTAACTTTAAATATAAGATACACGTGTTAAATTATTACTGATCTACCAGTTTACTTTTTAACTTGCTGAATACCTATAATCCCTGCTCTTTCTGAAAGTGGGCATTTATTAAACATGTAGAGTTTTCACATGTTCCTGGCACTGTTTATAATTTCAGCAGTTTCATCTAAGTCAGAGTAATAAAATGCTTACTTTCCACTGGTTTTTACACTGGAAAAATGTTGTTTGCTGCAATGTAGTAGCTACATATCATTCCTTTAGTCCTTTCATGCAGACCAAAGAAATAAAAACTCGCTGGGCATGGTGGCTCATGCCTGTAATCCCAACATGTTGGGAGGTTGAGGTGGGCAGATCACTTGAGCCCATGAGTTTGAGACTAGCTTGGCCAACATGGCAAAACCCTTTCTCTACTAAAAATACAAAAATTAGCTGTGCATGTGGTGGTGCACGCCTATAATCCCAGCTACTCAGGAAGCCAAGCCTGGAGGATTGCCTGAGCCTGGGAGGTGGAGGTTGCAGTAAGCCAAGATTGTACCACTGCACTCCAGCCAGGGCAACAGAGTAAGACCCCATCTTAAAAAAAAAGGAGAGAGAGAAATGGTTAAGAATATGCTTTTCATAAAAGTCCAGTTACTTATTTACAAAATACTAAAGACTACTGATAATGTGAGGTGAACTGAGGAGTACCATTACCCGAGCCTTCTGTACCTGAAATCTCATTGTAAAAAAAGCCCAAAGCCTATTCACCTTTGTTTGTCTTAAACAGGTCTGCGTTGTACTTCTAATCTTGTACAGTCTTCATGAAATTAACGTCATCTTAAGTATTTTGGTTTAGGAACCTCTTAAATGTCATCTTAAGTTCTTTGGTTTAGGAACCTCTTAAAATATCATTCAGAAAGAGCTTAGCACATGTACAGAGTTCACACAAAGCCCTATTTTACACAATTGTATGTACTGCTATCCCAGGAACATTATATGCTATTTAGAAAAGGTGGTAGGGCATAAACAAAACAAACAAAATACCAAGTCTAGGTACAAATAATCCCTAGACTGTGGGATTGTTTGGTGTAGTGGCTCATGCCTGTAATCCCAGCACTTTTGGAGGCCAAGGTGGGAGGATTGCTTGAGCCTGGAAGTTCAAGACCAGCCTAGGCAACATGGTGAAACCCCATCTGTACAAAAGATACAGAAAGTTAGCCAGTCATGATGGTGCGTGCCAGTAGTCCCAGCTCCTTGGGAGGCTGAGGTGGGAGAATCACCTGAGCCTGGAAAGTTGAGGCTGCAATGAGCCATAATCACATCACTGCACTCCAGCATGGGCATCAGAGTGAGATCCTGTCTCAAAAAAATTAAAATTTAAATTTAAAAACAACAACAACAACAACAATCCCTAAGAGGACTAAAAGGAAAATAAAACTTTGCTGCCAGACAAGACAGTATCAAGGTAAGGTCAAAGAGTTGCTAAAAAATAATAATAATAATAATAATTCAGGCAATTGGCTGTCTGGCTTCTGCAATTTGACAGATTCCTCTCTCCACTAATATACAGGAACTGTTCTGGTCATTGTCACATAGCAGAAATGCTTCTGTATGTGAAGTTGTTCTAGACTGCCTGTTACAGCTATTAAATGGAAACCCCAGAATTCATCCTGAATATCTCTGAATGTGAAAAAGTCACATGTACTAATTTAATTCACTATAAAATTTCCATGTTCTCCCACAGAGAGAATTTCAGCAGCGTCCTCCCAGTGTGAAACCGTGTCTTATCACTCCACCAGATTCAGAACTGGTACTAATTCTGACAGAAGCTGAAACTAAAGCCTACATTTTATTTAGTCAACATAAGGCCTTTTTTCAGAGATGGTGTGAATTAATAGTTTAAGCAACCAAAATAGAAGAACAGACAAGTTTTTCTTTTTTTTTTTTTTTTTTAACACATTCATTTCCATTGCTAAAGCTGTGGTGATCAGCAGAAGCATCTGCCTCGCTGTCAATAACAAGATGGATTCATGGATTCAGGTTGTTGGAATTGGTGGATCCAGGGCTTGGAACAAAGGAAGACTTACTAAAAATGAGACTTGGACTTGGAAGGCCTGCACCGCGAGGGCCAATTCTGCCATAAACCTGATTGCCCAGGTATGTTACAGAAAACACCCAGAGATTACAATGAAAGTCAGGGTGCAGCTGGGTGCAGTGGTTCAAGCCTATAATCCCAGAGCTTTGGGAGGCCAAGGCCAGCAGATCACTTGAGGTCAGGAGTTTGAGACCAGCCTGACCAACATAATGAAACTCAGCCTCTACTAAAAATACAAAAATTAGCTAGGCATAGTAGTGCAGGCCTGTAATCCCAGCTACTTGTGAGGCTGAGGTAGGAGAATTGCTTGAACCTCGGAGGCGCAGTTTGCAGAGAGCTGAGATCATGACACGTCACTCCAGCTTTGAGACTCTGTCTCAAAAAAAAAAAAAAAAAACAGAAGTCAGGGTGAGAAATAGCACATAGTAATAATGAATATAATAATTTTACAGCTGGCTGGGCTCAGTGGCTCATGCCTGTAATCCCAGCACTTTGGGAGGCTGACACAGGAGGACTGCTTGAGCCCAGGAGTTTGAAATCAGCCTGGGCAACACAGTGAGACCCTGTCTCTAAAAAAAAAAATAATTTTACAGCTTTTGGTTCTCTTGTATTAGATAGCATAACTGGGAGGAAAAAAAAAAAACGGTGAAATTATTTTCCCAAGACCAATTTGACTCATCTTCATCACACTTGTCTGACGTGGTTAACCAGGTGCCACCTACGTCAAGGTGGATCCAGGCTGTGGTCTCCCTTTAGGTAACAAAGTCCTTCCCAGAGGGAGGAGTCACACCATCGGGTCATGAGTTGCAAATGGGTATTTTTACATATTTATTAAAACGAGTTTCCTGAGAAGTTTGACCAGGCAATGTTGTTAACCTATTTTGCCTAAAATGTACAAAAATGCAATCAAACTTACATATATTTTACATATTCTAAAGTCAGATTTTGTTCTGATTGGCTATCCAATTAGGGCAAATTAGTGAGCTTTTGTTTTTATACTAACAATAGTCTGAAACATAAAATTAAGTTTGGGTTTAAAAACAATTCTTGAAATTGTCGTAAACATATGGTGTCTATTGATTGAACAGTAATAAAAAGGCACAAGGTACAAGAATTGAGGCTTGACTGTTCTGGCCATATACTAACTTCATATACCTTGACAGAATAAACTATGTTTTTAAAAAGCGCTTTGTACACTGCGTAATTATAGCTTTATCAGATAAAAACTCAATGACGTGTTGCTGAAAGTTTCTTCTTCTAGAATTTGAAATTATTTAAAATACTGAATGAGAATATATTTATCATATTATAAAATATGGCTTCATCAACCTGAGATTCCAGGACCCCAGATACTTCTCTGAACTTCTAAAAGTTCATTATTTGATAGAGTTGGATCAAATGTAAAGGGCCAAGTGTTCAAAGATCTTAGATACCTAAAGAGAAAAAGAAGGAAATGGTGGCTCTCCTGGGAGTCAAAATGTTGATGAGAACCAACCGAAAGCAGCACATACAGGCAGAAAAATAGACAAGTTACGATTCAGAAAAAAAATTGTATGCAGTTTTGGCATAAATATCTGAGACTCACTGTGGGCCGTGAGTTGAAAATGAACATGCAAGAGAGCAAGGAAAACACAAAGCCTCATTCAGATGTGCTGGTGAGACTATGACAGACAAATCTGTTGAAGTTATGGACCGTGAAGTCTGTCTTTTGTCAAAGCTCTATGTAGTCCCAGGATAGCGTGATAGCAGTGGTTAAACACAACCAGCTAGTTATAGCTTTCATTGTATGGAAAGACCTCTCTGGTCTGGAACTCTGCCTTTGAAATTATCCATGTAGTTCAGAAGGCAAATACTTGTTAAAGGGATCCTAAAAGATAGAAAAGGAGTAGTTTTTGTTATGCATTAGGGCAGACTTTCAAGCACAAGACACAAGATTGAGCAGCAAATGTTTGGGTAACCCCAACTCCCCTCAGTTCATATGTAGGTAGTAAAATAAATAAATTTTTCCTTCTTTGTCTCTTTCTTGGAATAAAATATCAGGCATCCAAGGACAGCTGAAGACTCTCAATTTGCTAGATTGCTTTAAAGTCAGATTTAGACAATTAAGGAATAAATGCAGATCAATTTCATTCGAGTAGGTGTGGTCAATGGACCCTTTTCCATTTTGTGCCATTGCTTTTAGCACAAGGATGTTAAAAATATCACAGAGAACGTCATCTCTGATGGACTGATAGAGACGTCCTGGAGTGCTGTGTTAGGACATGAGGCTTGTCCCAGCTTGGCAGGAGAGAATGCTAAGCATGATGAGTGATATCCACCACAGGCACAGATATTTCCTGCTCCTCTTCTGTTTGTTTCAAACCACCTTAAGGATCTCTGAAACATAGAGGCTGACAGATGACCCCCACCTGCACATACAAGGGAGGTACGGTGAAACAAGTGTGAGCTTTGCAGAAATGCTGACAAGCAAGGGAATTTCAGCTGAGGAGAACATTAGTTCTTTCGCTGAAGATTCCCAGTTTCTCTGAGACGTTCCCAAAGGTGACCGGACCTGGCCATGTCAGCATCTACAAGTTACCAAACGCCATCTCATCAGGACTGTGGACCCTCTCACTGTGTCTTCTTCGAAGGCAGAGCTTACTGACTGCCATTTAATGGTGTATCCATTAAAACACTTGCTGTGTTTGGTGACTTTTCCATGACATAACACTCCTTAAGAAAAGTTCCTGCTGAATGTAGTTTACCTGTCTGAGGACTTGACTAATCAGAGGAAATTATCCAAAGCTGGTTAGTGACCCAAAAGGAAACCATCGATAAAACAAGTTCCTGCTTTAGGCCCTAAGGAATGCAGCAGAAAGGTGACAAAGACTTGGCATGACCAGAGTGCGAGCAGTGACCTAGAAGAAGACTTAGCATGACCAGAGTGAGAGCAGTGAGTTAGAATAAGACTTAGCATGACCAGAGTGAGAACAGTGAGCTAGAATCAATAGGCTGAGAGGAGGCAACACCCATTGATCAGAAGTGAGCACATCACCCGCCTCCTTCTCCACCCTCGGAGGCAGCGATGGATGGCAGCCAGGCCTTCTCCTAGTAGTTCTCAATTGCACATTCTTCCAAGTGCAAGTGATGCCATCATTAGGAAGAGTGGGCGTTGGAAGAAACAGCAAAAGGTTCTTGTATCTATGTTGATTTGAAATTAATTAAATTCGTATCCTCTTCATCCTCTGGCAGGCTCAGCAGACTCATTCAGGGGCTGCTTCTCTTGGGAAACATGAGAGCCATTCAGGTTTAGGATTCATTGTCACTGTAAAAAAAAAACAAAACAAAACATAAACACACACACACATACATACACAAACAGTAATATATTTTTAAGAAGGTAAAGAGAGCTGGTCTCTCCATTGTGGAGGTGAACGAAGAGATCGCAAGATGTCAGGAAGCCAGTGGTGTCTAGCTTACAATTTCTGAAATGAAGGTCAGTTTTAATTTTATATTTGATCTCTGAGGAAGAAATCCATGAAAGCCAAAAAATAATCCCTAGCTCTCGCTCTTCATAGCCCTCCCCAGTGCTGATGCAGAGAGAACCAGATGGAGTTGGGGGTTCCCTGTTTAATAAATCTAATCCCGTTCTCTATGAATACATGCCAAATTGCCTTTTTCTAAAACAAATTTTCCACGTGCTGTTTTCTCTCAAGAGTTTGTGGTCCTGGCATGTCTTCAACAGCCCGTTTTGTTCATACCTACAAAGGATCTGGAGGGGCCTTCTCAGTGTCATTTAGAATTCAAACATCGGGCATCTTGGGGTGTGAGCAGACATAAATGAGGAACATCGTATTTGAACATGACCAGGCTGTTGGCTAATTTGTGCTTTTGCTTCTAACTTGGCTGTCTTTGCCAAGTATCTGGCCCCACAGCTTTTTCCTGGTGGGCCCATAGTTCCACCAAGTCTCCTGGAAGACAGGCAGCACCGCCCTTCCTCGACCTTCTCTTTGTAGATCTGTACTCCCTTCACTCACATCCTAGCAGGTCTCTATTTGAAGTGACCTCTGCTTCCAAGGAAGTGCGTGAATGATAATGAACAACAGATCTGGTATCTACCGAGCGCCTAGGTGTGTAGAGTCTGCAACAGGTGATATTCTTCTGACTCCTACTTCAGTGCTCGCCTGCTCAGTGAAGCTCCATGTGTTTCTAAAAGGACTTCAGGGCAATTCAGACACACATGGATAAAGAGATAGACAGATAAATAGGTAGATAAGTAGTAGATAGATAATGGATGGATCTATCCACGAAAGGGCAGGAGACATGTATATGTTCATGTGTGGTGTTTGTTTGCTTTAAAGACAGGGACAAAAGTGATGATAAGGACAGAAGAACAATGGGAAAGGAGGAGGAGGAGAGAATTTTATCTGAGGCATCGAAGTGAAAAAAAGTAAAAACGAGGGTGGGCGTGGTGGCTCACACCTGTCATTTCAGCACTTTGGGAGGCTGAGGCAGGAAGATTGCTTGAGTCCAAGAGTTTGAGACCAGCCTGGGCAATACAGTGAGACCCCATGTCTACAAAAATTTAAAATTAGCCAAATGTGGTGGTGCACACCTGTAGTCCGAGTTACTCAGGAGGCTGAGGTGGGAGGATTGCTGGAGCCCTAGCATTGAAAGCCGTAGAGAGCTATGATTGCACCATTGCACTCCAGCCTGGGTAAGAGAGACACCTGTCTCAAAAAAATGAAATAAAATAAAACAAAATAAAAAAGATTATATCAAAATGTCAAAATGTATTTCAAATGAAAGCGTGGTTAAAAATTAAGAAATGTTTCATGTGAAGAGTAGATGTGACAACCCCTTTCACTTATGTCACCCTGAATAACCTTTCAATTGGCCAATGAGTTTTCATTTCTTGGAATGGGTGGTAGTAAGTGGAAACTGGGTGGTAGTAAGATAATATTTCAAATATGCAGGAGTCTATCTCTACCGAACATAAGTCTCTGAATCGCATGTTTACTTTTTGTGACTTTATCTTGAAATTGCAGCCACTTGCAGCCGAGTGTAACATACAGCTGAGCAACATAGGCAAAGTCCTTTTTTTGTCCACAACATTAATCTTTGTCCAGCTGTTATAATAGAAGTGATTTTTACAGTTAATTATTTAAAAATTAGTCCATATTCATTGGTTAAAAAATATAAAATGCAAATAAGCAAAACAAAAATACCAATAATCTCACTACCTTAACATTTTTGTATTTATTCTCTCAGAGATTTTTCTGTGATAATGATATATATCCTTTTTGTACAAAAATTGGATCGTATTTTATATATTGTTCTGTAACCTGCTTTCTCACTCTCATTCACATGTAAACATCTTTCTCTGCTAATAAGTATACAATATATTTTTAGTGGTTATATATCATTCCATTGTCTCACTAAATCAAAGAATTTTTTTTAGCCAATCCCTTAGTGTTAAACATTTAGGCTACTTCGAATTTTAAATTTTTATTTATTACAAACATTACTACATCTTTGGAAACTTCTAATTGTTACCTTTGCATATATCTCTAGACAAGGAATTATTAGGTCAAAGTTATACAATTCTAAAGCTTTAATAGCCCATTGTCAAATTATCTCTCTTTCCTAGAAATTTTTACAATTTCTATTCTTCCAACACTACTCTAGGGAAATAACCTTTTCCTCACATCCTCTCCAACATTGAATATTTTCATTTCTTTGTATTTCTAATAGGTGAAAATAATATCATATTCACTGTGACTTTCTTTTTATTGCTACAAAGACTAAACCTTTTACAAAGCTTAGTTGGTAATTTTAATTTCTTCCTTTGTTGAATTACTTATTAATAGTCTCACTTATATTCAAAATGGGACAATTCTTCTTCTTCTTCTTAAACAGAATCTCACAATGTTGCCCAGGCTGGAGTATAGTGCCCAGATCTCAGCTCACTGCAGCCTCAACCTCCTGGGTTCAAGCAATCTTACCACCTCGACCCCCTTCCCCCACTTCCCCAGTAGCTGGAACCACAGTTGTGTGCCACCACACCTGGCTAACTTCTGTGGAGACAGGGTCATGCCATGTTGGCCAGGCTGCTCTTGAACTTCTGGGCTCAAGCAGTCCACCTACCTCAGCCTCCCAAAGTGCTGGGATTACAGGTGTGAGCCACCATGCCCAGACTATCATGTTTTCTGAAGTACAGAAATGTTGAGTTTTTAATGTAATTAAATCTAGCTTTTTCAAACATGGTTTCTGACTTGTGTGTCATGCTTTCAAACTAGTTCCCTCCTTAGAGGTATATAATATTTTCCCATATTTTTTCTGGCTTTTTTCTTTCTTTTTAATACTCGAACTCAACTGGAGTCTATTTTAGTATAAAGCGTGAGGTTGATCTCTAAATCCCCCTGTCATATGTTAGTCAGCTGTCCCAAGACTATTTATTAAATAAATAATCCACTTGCTATGAAATGTTAATTCTAATTTGGTTCTGGGTATACACTGTTTTAATTGTTGATCAAGCATGACATGCTCCCTGTGAACTCCCCATCCTTATTCGATCTTACAATTGCACTTTTTCCTTCTTTTAGAATTGCCTTGGCTATTTGCACACAGTTATTCTTCCAGATGAAATGTGCATAGGGATTTTTAAGATGACTGGATTGAATTTAAGATGATCATTTTTACATTGTTGAGTCTTTCATCAGGAACACAGTATACCTCTCCATTCGTTCAAGTCTTTTATGTGCCACAATAAAAATCTGAACATTTTATATTATCGCCTGCATTTTTTCAGTTAAGTTTATCCCTGGGTAGTTTACGTTTGTGCTGCCTTTATGATATTACCAATGTTGATGAGTGCTAACGAATGGCTTTTTTAGCATAGCAGATAAGAGTCTTGGGTCATTGGCCCAAGTCTGAATCAGGGTTCACTTTCCTGCCCTATGACATTGGGCAAATTAACCTTTCTTAGCCAGAGTGATCTGATCTCATCTCATCTGCAAAACATACATAATGATACCATGAGCTTTATTGTTTTGTAAATAATAAATGAGAAAATGCAGGTAAAATACCATACTCCAGGCCTGACACACAGACACATGAATGAATGTTAGTAATCCTTATTTTGCAGGTTTTACAGTAAGTAGCCAGTGTTTGCTGGTAAAACACTAGCATGAATATTGTTTCAGATACCCAAAGACTTTCAGCAACCATCTTCCAAAACAAGCTTTGCATTTCTAAGGAGAAGCATTTTGAAGGCTCAGCATAGGACACTGTCCAAAAACAAGAAATTATTTAACTTAAAGCAACAAAGAGGAAACGCAGCTCAAGGTATGGTGCCCACTGCCACAGCTCTGTGGACCATGAGATATTGACAAGCACTGTCAAACAGGATACAAGTTGCCTCACCTCTGGGCCATCAGGCCACTCATAGAGTGTAGCAACTCGTACTTGTGGTGGAATGGACTTAAGGCGTGTTGGTAAATCAGCAAGCTGGGACCTGGCCCACCCCTGAGCCTGGAGGCATTCTCTTCCAAACACTCATTCCTTTATTTAGTTAGATATGTTTCCTGTTGTCTTTTTGGCTATTTATTATCTCTGTGAAATCATCAAATAAACCCTGACATTTTTAACTCTGAAAAATCCTAGAGTTCCATGTTAAAAAGATCCTAGCAAACTGTCACAGAATTGCAACAAATCAAATGAGTCGTCCCTTTTCAATCCTTTAGTCTGAAAGCAGTTTTAGTAACTTATCTACGATGCTAACGTTAGTGAGCAATTTTTCTAGGAACGTTAGATATTTTAAGAATGTGGGGCAAGTGTGGTGGCTCATGCCTGCAATCCTAGTAACTTGGGAGGCGGGGGCATTGGAGCCTCAAGGACCACTTGAGCTTACGAGTTCGAGACCAGCCTGGGGAACATAGTGAGACATTGTCTCTACAAAAAATTTTACAATTAGCTGGGCTTGGTGGCTTGTGTCAGTAGTCTCAGCTATTAGGTTGGTGCGAAAGTAATCATGATTTTTGCCATTAAAATAATGGCAAGAACAGCGATTACTTTTGTACCAACCTTATACCTTATATTTGTGGGGGCTGAGGTGGTAGGGTTCCCTAAGACTGGAAAAGTGGAGGCTGTAGTGAGCTGAGATCACACCACTGCACTCTAGCCTGGGCAAAAGAGTGAGGCCTGATCTCAAAAAAAAAAAAAAAAAAAAAGAATGTGGAACACCTTTCCCAAAAGCCTGTGTAGTAACAGACTGACAAATGAAACCAAATGTAATTGATTAAAAAGCATCATTGTATCGTTTTC